TATCCCCGAAGCTCAAATGGCTATCGCTACATTTCGGAAGATGGGTAAGGATGATACTTTTGAGGATCTGACCCACCAGAAGGGACCTTCAATTGAAGAGCAAAATTTGGAAGAAGTGGAGGTTGATTTATTGGATGACGATGAACCTATGAACCCCCTCAATTCCCGAAGTGAGTTTGGGAGTGTCAATGAGTTTCGGGTTGATGTGTTACCAAGCTCTTTGAAGGGTGTCGATTTGTTACCCCCTGGTTGGTACAAAGACAGTTTGGGGAATGATGTTCAGGTTGCTGATCAAGCGGTTGCGTATCGTACCCCCACCTTTTCTGGGAAAGAGATATCCGGCAGGTATCGAACCACTTGGGGTTATATGGCTGATAACCGATGGACCCGATTAGAGGATGATGTGGATTGGGTTCAGTTAGATAACCCCCACCAAATGTTGCCGGAAACACCCATCAAAAGGTTGATCACTGTTTTTGCTACTAGGAAAAGGAAAGACATCTGTTTGGATAGTGTTCCCCAAAGCATGAAACAAAAGAAGGAAAAGAAGTCGCATGTTTTTGCGGTCAGTAGTCAGAAACAGAAACGGATGCTTGACAAAGAGTTGCCGTATGATCGTATTCCTGTTCATGAAAAAGATTTGTACCAACAAGCTGAGGTCAAGGAATGGGAGTCATGGAAACGGTTTGATACTGTTGAGATGTTGAGTGAGGGTGAGAGTGAGAGAATCCGGAGTGAAAAACCCCAACAAGTTCTGCGATCTAGAATGGTTTACCGAAACAAGAATGCCGGATTGAGAGATGAACAGGGATGTCCTGCAGAGACTAAAGCAAAGGCACGTCTGTGCGTGCTGGGTCAGTTCGCGCCTGGAGTCGTAGAGGGCACGTCTCAAGTTGATTCCCCCACCATTCAAAGGGTCACCACGTATTTGTTCTTGAACTGGGTGATTAGTTGGGGATGGACTAAAAATTGGAGGATAGGAGACGTGTCAAATGCTTTTCTTCAGGGTGAGTGCCCTCCAGGAGAACCTTTGTACATGGAGCAACCATGTCGGGGGCTCCCCGGTGTTCCTGGTGGAAGACTTTTCAAACTCAAAAAGTCGGTTTATGGTTTACCTGAAGCCCCCCGTTGTTGGTATAATAGTTTGGTGAAGATTTTGGTTGATGAACTTGGGTTCGAAAAGAGTGTTCTTGATCCGTCATTGTTTATTTTGCGTGATGATAATGGACAGGTTATTGCCCTTTTGACCACTCACGTTGATGATATTATGGTTGCTGGTGATGGTTCGAACAAAATCTGAAGACGTCATTGAGCAGTTACACCAAAGGTTGCCATTTGGGGAGTGGAGTTTTGTGGAAAAACAGAATGAAGGAGTTACGTACTGCGGTAAGGAACTTAGAGTTCAACAAAAAGATGGTGAACAAGTCATTGTTGTTTCTCAGCATGGTTTTGTTGAGGGTCGTCTTGAGGAAATCCCCTTGACTAGTGGTCGCAAAAAGGAAAAGGATCATGATGCATTACCTGGGGAGATCACAGATTTTCGTTCTACTATGGGTAGTCTTCAGTGGCTGAGTACTCAGAGTAGGGCTGATATCAGCTTTGAGGTGAACCAATTGTTGAAAAGGACCCCCAACCTCAAAGTCGAAGACCTTCTGCGTGCTAATCGGTTGGTTCGGGAGGTGAAGAATAATCCGTTTGAAATCACCCTGAAGAGTTTGGGAAGAAATTGGGATCTTGTTGTTTATCATGATGCCTCATTATTCAGTTCGGTTGGTAAAGAAATTGATGATCAAACTGCGGATGACTTGTTGATGAATAGTAGCGACAAAAGGTTGGTTTATTCCCAAAGAGGTTGTGTTGTTGGTTTTGTGAAGAGGGGTGATTCGAATCTTGAAGGAAAATTCACCCATTTCAACGTAGTTGATTGGAAATCATCGACGATTAGGCGTACAGTGGAGTCTTCATTTGCAGCTGAAACACACGCTGCAATTCAGGGACATGGTCAAGGTAAGTACTGTCAAGCCCTTATCGCCGAACTCTTTCACGGTCGTGATGCAGTGAGATTTGGAGATGATGCGATACTTCAACACATCCAACCTATGTACATGGTGACGGACTGCAAATCAATTTACGACTGCGTCCACAAGCAGGGTCAGCATGTTTCTTTCAAAGGAGCCATCTTGAGTATTGTTTTTTTCCGTGAAATTTGTGAAACTGTTGGAGAGGGTTCCAAGGCGTAAATTACTCTGGGTTCCGAGTGAACACCAAGTGGCGGATGGATTCACAAAATGTGGAAAGTCCTCAGAGTTCAGAAAGCGGGAATGGTGTGTTAAACTTCATGAGAGTGCTTTAAGGCGTAGCAGCCAAAAGAAGATTTGTGCCAATGTGAATTCTGTTGATTGCAAGTTGGCTGCTACGAAACCCGCAAGAGTCTGAATGAACCAGCGAAGCGTTTTGACAATTTCTTTGTGTGAAGCCTTTTTGGCTCTTGGGGCAGACGAAAAAGGCAGTGATGCAATGAGCGATCACCCCACCTGTCAGTTTTGACACAAACATACTGCAGATCTGAAGTGACATTGCTTCGCAGGTATTCTCTGCGATCGTCATCTGTCACTGCCATTGCTGAGACTGAATCTAAAGCTGAATCGTCTTATGTTGCAAACTGCATCTGAAACTCAAATAAGCGAAGAGGAGAAATGGAGAAATGCCGAGGACGCAGGACAAGGGGAAAGGAAACCAAAACCTGAATCCAAGAAATAAATGCCCCATGCTGAAGTGTCACCGTTTCTTTCAAATCTCTGAGCATCAAAAACGATGTCAAATCTGAAGTGCCGCACTCTTCTTGCTGATGCCATGTCCCCCAGTCCAACTTGCAATTCAAAAATTTTATGCGGAGAGGATACTGGGAGAATGCCGAGGATGCAGGACAAATAAAATATGTTCTTTCACTTCACTCCACTTTCTTCTCAAACTTCTGAACCCGTCACATCCGGAATCCGAAGTGGAGAGGGGGAGAATGCCGAGAGACGCAGGACAAATAAGTTAAAATAATTAAACTCAAATAAATGAACTCTCCACAAATTTCCTGCTGAAGCGGAACTGATTTCCTTTTCCCCTGTGTTGCCTGGCTGCTGGTTCGCCAGCACCACAAATGCGCTCGTTCAGCGCTTGCACAACTCTGCAACTGCACTGTGACTGAAACCGGTATGAAACCCTACCTAAGTGCAAACATGAAACCAAAGCAACCTGTCTAAAACATGGTGCCTACATTGGTGCAGACTTGGTGAAAAAATAACTGCAACCCAGTCCTAACTCAAGGGCTGCCACTCCGACGCCTCTTCGGCTCCGGTCTCACCTCTGGTTGTGTCCGTCGATGACGAATCACCTGAATCGCTCGAGACATCAAGGCCTGCTGTCGTACGACCTAACTCCTCTGAAATTCGACGCTGACAGATCTTGCAGATAGCGTCATAACCTGCGTCCTGAACATTGTCAACATCCATGGTGTCAATGCATCTGTCCGAACGCACCGGACACTTCCCATGCATGTGCAATCTCCTGAACCCTGTCCTCCTTGAGGTCGTAATGAAATAGCCAGCACGGCCATGGTTCTCGCCCGCTTCTCGCTGCACTGCCTCAATGACCTGTTGTCGTTCCTGATCATCTACCTGTTCCGTCTCTGAATCAAACGTGTTGAAAATCTCTTCAGATTTATGTCTTTTGTAGTCATGAGTATGGCGTCTCCGGACTCTCTGTCCTACCAGCTCATGCTTGTCTGCAAACTGCATGACCTCTTCCAACAACTCTGACTCGTCCAATGCTGGATTCCCCACACAATTGATTCCCAGACCAGGTGCTGAACCTCTTCCACCACTTGGCGTGATGTATGCAAGTATGCATTGCTCCCAGTCCGTCCTATCGACCATCTTCCAAGCAAATCACGTTTTGTTTTGTCCACACCTAATGACGCAACCGCCTGTGTCAGAAAATGACGTGGGCTGTGGCCAGACCAGAAAAGCAGCATGGCCCCCGGGACCAAATCCATAGCCAGGTTCTGCCGCCAGTGTCCATCTTGGAAACGTGGTGTTCCAAGCTTTCCCAAAACGATTCTCTAAAGTAATTTGCCATAGCCGGGGGTTCCATCCCTGAGCACCGCATATTGATTAGAATCAATTTTTGATGCTCTGAGATATTGTTTTTTTTGACACTCCAAAATCACGTTTTTTTCTATGTGTTTTTCTTGATTCTATCTTGATATTTTTCTTGATTTTCATCTTGATATTTTTCTTGATTTCATCTTTTTTTAAAAAAATCTTGGTTTATATCTTTAAAATTATTGATTTCTCTCCTTACCTTTTCTGACCTATCTGGATCTCTCCTTGGCTGCTTCATGTCTGCATATGGTTGACATGTCCACCATACATGCAGTTTTGGCTCTAAGTTTGCTTTTGTCGCTTAGTTTTGGAACCTTGCAAAAGTCAAGGCCCAGGTCTTGGAAAAGGTGCAAGTCTTGGAAAAGGTCCAAGTCTTGGAAAAGGCCCAAGTCATGGAAGGCTTTGGAAAAAGCCAGGCCAATGTCCAGGGGAGGACCCAGACATGAAACCAAACCTCTGGTGGATGTTGGCTTGGTTTTAAGTGCTTGGAAAAGCATAAGGATATCATGGCTGACCTGGGGGCCTATGAGCATATGTGCTCCAGCTCTGGGCCCAATGCTAAGGCTTTGCATGCCACCAGGAAGCTATGGACAGGGTTGTTGGATCTGGAGCCAAGTGGCTTGACCCACAGCCAGCCACTGAGACAGGCTCTTCTGTCTTTGTTGGCAGAGAACCCAGATATAAACCTGGGGAAACATACTGGGCTGGTGTGGGCCGGAGAGGCTGAACTGCCTCCTGACACATGTCAGGAAACTTGGCAGGGACAGCAAAGCTCTCATGCCTGTAGCTGCCAAGCTCATCAGGGACCAGTACCATTAATTGCTGGTGGGCTTGAAAAAGCTCAAAATGCCTAACAAAACAGAGTTGGCCCTGGTGCCAGTGACAGCAGCAAAAGAGGAGCTTGGAAAAGCACCTTCTGCTAAGAGCAAAGCAGCCACAAGTGAGCTTGGAAAAGCATCACCTCAAAAAAAGGCCCATATGCTTGGAAAAGCACCAGCATCTGCCAAGGCCAAGCTTGGAAAAGCCAAGCCTAGAAAAAATGCAGGGAAGGTTGGAAAAGTTGGCAAGGAGGCCCTTGGAAAAGGTAAAAGAAAGCTGGCTCCCAGAATCAGTGATGTGAGCTTGGACTCTGAAGGCTTCCCTGGGATGTTCAACAGCCCCTCCAAGAAAGGCAGAGCAAGCCAGGCAAGGCCCTGGCTGATGAACCCAAAGAAAGGGAACCTTGGGTTGATCTCAAGCAAACAGATGCTAACAAGCCCCAGCCAAGATCTTACCTTCAAGGTAGGGTGGAGGGTGGCAAACTGCATCTCATTGTTGAGGTGACTCAGAATATGTCCATCCACTACCTTGCCATTATTGGTAAGATCAGGTGTCAAAAGCTGACGCCTTGGCCATGAGGAAGGACCTCTTGGAAAAGTACAGTCCATAGGCCTTGGCACATGTTCTTGGAAAAGGACATGCAACTTATCCTTGGAAAAGGACCACAATGTTCTTGGAAAAGGGCATGCAATCTTATCCTTGGAAAAGGACCGCAATGTTCTTGGAAAAGGACATGCAATCTTATCCTTGGAAAAGGACCACAATGTTCTTGGAAAGGACATGCATGCCCTTGGAAAAGGGCCAAGTACAGCTGAAGTGCATCAGCAGTTTTGAAAGAAAAAAGGTAGCTGCTGCTTCTCTACTGGGTGGGTAACTGGTTGTATAGTACTGGCTAGGAACCTGGTAGCTAGTGGGGGCCACAGGGTAACTGCATGCTGGTTGATGTTGAATGCATGTCTGCAGCCATGCTTGGGCAGGTTGCATGCATGACCATGTCACCACACATGCTACATGCACACACACACACACAACTTGCACAGCACAGCACACAACTTGCACAGGCGTACACATGTTCACCAACAGCAAAAGTCGGCAAGAAAACAGCAACCACTATAACACAACTTTGTAAGTACACTTCACAATCAGCACATACAACTACAACACCACTTGTAGCTTGTTGCTGTTGGTGGGCTTGGAAAAGCTCTGCTGCTGAAGCAGGGCTTTGGGTTTGGAAAAGCCTGGTCCCTGAGACTGGGTTTGGAAAAGCCCAAGGGGTTGGAAAATCTCCCCTGAACTGGCAAGTCTTGGAAAAGATGGACCAGCCTGAAGGGCCCCCCAACAAAAAGGGTAGGAAGTTTGGTCATGGGACCGCTTCCCAGGCCAAGAAGGAAAGAAGGAAGGGGATGCAGTGGTCAGCCCTGGAAAAGGCAGACCCAACTGACCCCACTGTCCTGGCCAATCACCTGGAAGCCTTGGAAAAGGCAAAGGAAAGGTGTTAGGAGAGGATGGCAGATGCTGTTGCCAAGAAATTGGAACAGCTCTCCACCTCTGATGAGCCCAGGGCAGGGGGCGCCAAGCACAGGGGCAAGAGTGGCCAGCCAAGGAAGGCTGTGCTCACCCCTGCTGCTGCTGCAAGCTCTTCTTCTGGCTTGGAAAAGCCAACAGCCACCTTGGAAAAGGAAGGCAAAAAAAAGAAGAGCAAGCCTGCCCAGGACTTGGAAAAGTTCAAGCCCAAGGATTTGGAAAAGTCCCAGGGCAGCACCACCCATGGCAGTGCCAACAAGGGCTTGGAAAAGCCTGTGGTGGTGGTCGACTGGCACAACACCTTGGAAAAGGATAATGTTGTGAGCCAGGACAACCTGGCAGGCTTGGAAAAGCTGCAGGAACACTGCAGACTGATCCTGCTCTCTGCAGTGGACACTGCCAAGAGGGAGAGGCAAGTCCTGGTGGACATGGATGCCATGATCCCAGACCACATTCACCAGCAGGGTCTTGGAAAAGAAACCTGCAGGGTGAAATGTGGTGAGGGTGGGAAGGCAGATCTTCCCTGGCAGTGGGATGCTGTTGCCATTTTTGATGACAATTGGCAGATCTGCCAGGAATGTGAGGCCTTGGGCATTGATGCTTACCAGGTCTCACAGGAGAAGGCAGCCAAGGGGGCCTTCTCCACCCGGGTGCCAATGCTCAGTAGTCTTGGAAAAGACTGCTGGGCCCCTGGTCTTGGAAAAGGCTGGCTGCACCTGGCAGAAGGGCTTGGATCCCACATGGGCTTGGAAAAGCCCAGCAAGGTCATTGGCTTGGAAAAGCCTTCAATGAGAGGCAGTGCATGATGGGCTTGGAAAAGCCCAAGCAACAAGCAGACATGGATTGGGCTGCAGTGATTTAAAAAAAAATATATATATATATATACCAGTAGTACCCGCACGAGGCGGGGCGGAAGTTGCCTTAAAGATATATATAAGATTTTTCTCATATTTAGAACTTGCATGCGCCGTGCGCCAGCCAAGCCCGTGCGTGCGTGCATTCTGTGAAAGTGGTGTCCCGTTTCACATGTCACATGTGAAGCTCCACTTCGCACTTCACACTTCTCGCTGCACTCTTCACACTCCACCTACACACTTCACACTCCACACTTCACACTTCACACTGCACTCTTCGCACTCCACACTTCACACTTCACACTTCACACTCCACATTTCACACTTCACAGTCCACACTTCACACTTCTCACTTCTCACTGCTTTCTTCACACTTCTCACTGCACTCTTAACACTCCACACTGCACACTTCACACTTCACACTCCACACTTCTCACTTCACACTGCACTCTTCCCAATCCACGCTTCACACTTCACACTCCACACTTCACACTTCACAGTCCACACTTCACACTTCTCACTTCTCATTGCTTTCTTCACACTCCACACTTCACACTGCACTCTTCACACCCCACACTTCATCTCATCTGAGCTCCTCTCACCTTATCCCAGCTCATCTCTTCTCATCTCATCTCTTCTCATATGTCATCTAAGCTTTCATGAATCACTTCCCAGTACTACTACAAAGGAACTTGCATGCACAGTGCGCCAGCCAGGCCTGTGCGTGCGTGCTTTGTGCGAAGCTGTTGCAATGTTGTTGTTCAAGAACATGACCTGCGCGCGTCCCCGGTGCAATGCAAACACTTTCCTCACACTTCACATTGCACTCTTCACACCCCACACTCCACACTTCACACTTGCACTTCATCTCAACTCATCTCATCTGAGCTCTTCTCATCTCATTCCATGTCTTCCCATATGTCAGCTAAGTTCTTCTTGGCTATTTTCATGCCAAGTACTTCCCAGTACTGATGTCTACTACAACAGCTTGTAAAAACCACTTCCCAGTACTACTTTGTACTACAAAGCTTGCGCAAAACACATTCCAGTACTACTTTGTACTACAAAGCTTGCGCAAAGCACTTCCCAGTACTACTTTGTACTACAAAGCTTGCACAAAGCACTTCCCAGTACTACTTTGTACTACAAAGCTTACACAAACTACTTCGCAGTACTACTTTGTACTACAAAGCTTGCACAAAACACTTCACAGTACTACTTTGTACTGCAAAGCTTGCACAAAGCACTTCCCAGTACTACTTTGTACTACAAAGCCTGCACAAAGCACTTCCCAGTACTACTGTGTACTACAAAGCTTGCACAAAGCACTTCCCAGTACTACTTTGTACTACAAAGCTTGCACAAAACGCGTTCCAGTACTACTTTGTTCTACAAAGCTTGCACAAAGCACTTCCCAGTACTACTTTGTACTACAAAGCTTGCACGAAGCACTTCCCAGTACTACTTTGTACTACAAAGCTTGCACAAAGCACTTCCCAGTACTACTTTGTACTACACAGCTTGCACAAAGCACTTCCCAGTACTACTTTGTACTTTACAAACAGTACTACTTTGTATTACAAAGCTTCCAGTACTACTTTGTACTACAAAGCTTGCACAAACACTTCCCAGTACTACTGTGTACTACAAAGCTTGCACAAAGCACTTCCCAGTACTACTGTGTACTACAAAGCTTGCAAAACACAGTACTTTTTGTACTAAAGCAAAACACTCCCCAGTACTACTTTGTACTACAAAGCTTGCACAAACTACTTCCCAGTACTACTTTGTATTACAAAGCTTGCACAAAACACGTTCCAGTACTACTTTGTACTACAAAGCTTCTACACACATCAAGTTCTTTCGCAGAGAAGCTTTTACACACAGCAAGCTTTTCAAGCAGAGAAGCTTTTACACACAGAAGCTTTTACACACAACAAGCTTCTTCACAGAGAAGCTTTCACACACAGCAAGCGTTTACACACAGAACACTTACACACACTGCTTTTACACATGGCAAGCGTTTACAGACAGAAACTTTTGCACAGAGACGCTTTTACACACAGAAGCTTTTACACACAGCAAGCTTTTAGACACAATTTTTTTTCACACAGCAAGCTTTCACACACAGCAAGCGTTTACACACAGAACACTTACACACAATGCTTTTACACATGGCAAGCATTTACGCACAGAAACTTTTGCACAGAGACGCTTTTACACACAGAGAAGCTTTTACACACAGCAAGTTTTTACACACAAAATCTTTTTCACGCAGCAAGCTTTCACGCACAGCAAGCGTTTACACACAGAATACTTACACACAATGCTTTTACACATTGACATGGCAAGCGTTTACACACACAGCACGCTTTTTAAACAGAAGCTTTTACACACAACAAGCTTTTACACAGAGAAGCTTTTACACACGGCAAGCTTTCACACACAGCAAGCGTTTACGCACAGAACACTTACGCACAGTGCTTTTACACATGGCAAGCGTTTACACACACAGAAACTTTTACACAGAGACGCTTTTACACACAGAAAGCTTTTACACACAGAGAAGCTTTTACACACAGCAAGCTTTTACAGAAAAAGGTTTTGCACAGAGAAGCTTTCTTGTACATAATCACAACAGGAATTGCAGCTTCAAAACCGGATCTCGACGCCAAAGCGACAAAAAAACGATTTTGAAGCACTTTTTAAAAGGAATTTTAGAAGGAAAATTCCTTGCGCCAAAATTGCGACAATCTTCTGACAAATCACTGTCGCAGCCTGCAGATGGATGCAGCCACTCCAATACGATTTACGATCTTCAGCTGCAAAAGACAATAGTATTGCGCAAGCAGCCGCGGCACCAAGCAACATTCATCGCCGGCTGCAGCCACTTTACACGGAAAAACACAAGGTTTCGTGCTCCGGCTTCCTCCCCAACACAAAGCCCATGCAACATCATGCAGCCATTCCAATGCGATCTGGCACCACAGCTTCAAGAAACGCATAGAACTACCCACACAGGAACAACCACTTGTTGCAAAACACATAGAAGGAACCAATCGCGCACAAAACGACCACAGCCGCACCCGTCGCGCACACGAGGTACCTTTCATCGTCGCCTGCAACCACTTTACACGGAAAAACACAAGGTTTCGTGCTCCGGCTTCCTCCCCAAACAAAGCCCATGCAACATCATGCAGCCATTCCAATGCGATCTGCCACCACAGCTTCAAAAACGCATAGAACTACGCACACACAACAACCCTCGTTCAAAACACATAGGAGGAAAAAACGACCAACCGACCCCAGCCGCACCCGTCGCACACACGAGGTACCTTTCATCGCCGGCTGCAGCCACTTTACACGGAAAAACGCAAGGTTTCGTGCTCCGGCTTCCTCCCCAACACAAAGCCCATGCAACATCATGCAGCCATTCCAATGTGATCTGCCACCACAGCTTCAAGAAACGCATAGAACTACGCACACAGGAACAACCACTCGTTGCAAAACACATAGGAGGAACAATTCGCGACAGAAACGACCGCAGCCGCAACCGCCGCACAGACAAGGTACCTTTCATCGCCGGCTGCAGCCACTTTACACGGAAAAACACAAGGTTTCGTGCTCCAGCTTCCTCCCCAACACAAAGCCCATGCAACATCATGCAGCCATTCCAATGCGATCTGCAAACACAAACTCAAGAAACGCATAGAACTACGCACACAGGAACAACCACTCGTTGCAAAACACATAGGAGGAACAATTGGCGACAGAAACGCCCGCAGCCGCAACCGCCGCACAGACGAGGTACCTTTCATCGCCGGCTGCAGCCACTTTACGCGGAAAAACCCAAGGTTTCGTACTCTGGGTTCCTCCCCAACACAAAGCCCATGCAACATCATGCAGCCATTCCAATGCGATCTGCCACCACAGCTCCAAGAAACGCATAGAACTACGCACACAGGAACAACCACTCATTGCAAAACACATAGGAGGAACAATTCGCGACAGAAACGACCGCAGCCGCAACCGCCGCACAGACGAGGTACCTTTCATCGCCGGCTGCAGCCACTTTACACGGAAAAACACAAGGTTTCGTGCTCCGGCTTCCTCCCCAACTCATCACCGCTTCCCTTCCTCACCACTTCCCTTCGTCACCACTCCCCTTCATCATCACTTTCCCTTCTTCACCACTTCCCTTCCTCACCACTTCCCTTCGTCACCACTCCCCTTCATCATCACTTCCCTCGTCTTCACCACTTCCCTTCGTCACCACTTCCCTTCTCTCCCTTCCTCACCACTTCCCTTCGTCACCACTCCCCTTCATCATCACTTCCCTTCTTCACCACTTCCCTTCGTCACCACTCCCCTTCATCATCACTTCCCTTCTTCACCACTTCCCTTCCTCACCACTTCCCTTCATCACCACTCCCCTTCATCATCACTTCCCTTCTTCACCACTTCCCTTCGTCACCACTTCCCTTCCTCACCACTTCCCTTCTCCACCACTTCCCTTCATCATCACTTCCCTTCGTCACCACTTCCCTTCTCCGCCACTTCCCTTCTTCACCACTTCCCTTCGTCACCACTCCCCTTCATCATCACTTCCCTTCTTCACCCACCCTGTGTCATAGCTTCTTATTCTTTTGTTATGTATTGTTATGTGATCTACCACCCTTCATCAAGGTCAACTGCATAGCTTCTTATTCTTTTGTTATGTATTGTTATGTGATCTACCACCCTTCATCAAGGTCAACTGCATAGCTTCTTATTCTTTTGTTATGTATTGTTACATTACGTATTGTTATGTGATCTACCACCCTTCATCAAGGTCAACTGCATAGCTTCTTATTCTTTTGTTATGTATTGTTACATTATGTATTGTTATGTGATCTACCACCCTTCATCAAGGTCAACTGCATAGCTCTTATTCTTTTGTTATGTATTGTTAG